GCAAGACCCTGGGTTCGGTCCTCAGCTCCGGGGGTGGGGAGTGGGGGAGGGTGGGGGATTGGGGGATTGGGTTGTATTATTTGAAGATATTTAGATAAGTTTAAAAAAATTTACTGCTACTAGATAGAAATAAAAACTATTTTGTATATTTAACCTTGCTTTTGAAAATTAGATTTATTCATTTTTATTTTATGTGTGAGTGTTTTGCCTGCATGTATGTATGTGTACCAAGTATGAGCTTGATGCCTGTAGAGGTCAGCAGAGGGCGTTGGATCTGCTGGAACTGGAGTTATGTATGGTTGTGAACCACTATGTGGGTTCTGGGAACCAAACTCAGGCTCTGCAAGAGCAGTAGGTCCTCTTAACAGCTGAACTGTCTCTAGTCCCGACTTAACTTTTAACCATGGAAGTGCTCATCTTTTCTGTATGTTGAAGGTAATTATATTGGTACCAAAAATGCAGTTTTAGATTCAGGTTATTTGCTGTCTATGTGGATACAGTTTTAGAAACGTTAACTCTCTGAATGTTGGTTTTCACATGATATTGATAGATAGCTTTCCCCGCCGTGAGGTATGAAAATGTGATTGTTAATGCCCAAGGTTGTGCTCCTAAGGCTAATCTGTCCTACCTGAAGCGTAGCAGTCATCAAGTTTCATGTTAAGATATGTTGAAAAACTCCTTTCAGGTCCTTGTTGGAGTGGTTTTCATTTGCTTTTTTCTGTTTTCTCTCAATCTATTTGTCTGTAAGTACTTGCACACAGAGCTTTTCATCCCTACAAGTAGTCACTGCAAGGTTAACTGATTTCCATAACCACAGAATCCTGATTTTTTTTCTCCCTGTCCTGGCTGTGTTGCTGTTCATTACAGAATTTTGGATTCTTTTAATGTTCCTGAAGATGTATTTTTGCCTTGTCCTGTGTTTTCCTTCATCTCTTGAATTGCTGCTTTTTTATATCAGCTGATAATCTAGATAGGAATTTCTAGAGGAGTTCCAGTTTCTTTTGTTTGTGAACAGAATAGAGCAGATAGCCTACTATGGAGGAGGGAGTGTGTTAAACCAAGGATAGATTTCAGCAGCTCAAAGGGCGCCAGAGTACAAGGAGTTGGTGTTTTTATATTAGTTCAGGCGGGGCTTTTGGCTTGGTAGTATAGCTCAGGCTTCCCTGTGCATGTGTTATCTGTGGTTCTGTATTAACTTCACGCATGCCTCACTACTGTCTACTCAAGGGTGTATCAAGGTCATCCTTGAACACACTGGAATTTCTCTCATCTGTATCACTGGCAATTTTAGTCATCCTCTCTGTCTGAGGTTGGTTTCCAGCTTGTTTCTTTGCCTACTTGGTTTTTTTTTTTTTTTTTTTTTTTTTTTCTAATTTTATAAGGCTTTGAACAAGGATTTCTGGACCTACTTTCTTCCGCTCAAGTCTCCTCCATCGTTTTCCTCTCTGGTTGGCACATCTTCTT